ACACACATTCTGTAAGGGTTTAGGGTAAGGGTCATAGTTAGGCTATAGACATTAATGGAGGTCAATAGAAAGCCCAATTATAGTGAGACAAGTTTGTGTGTGTGTTAACACAGTATTTCCTCACCAGCTGCCCCATTTGTCAAACTGTGGCATCCATGATCAAATTAGGCCAGTATGCTAATTCTTTATGAGCTTGTCATCAGCCGATTGACTTATGACAGCTAAAGTTGTCATAATTATTAATAAACATGTCTGACTGATGGGTTAAAATTTACCTGGTGACATTGTAATGTGCAAATGTGCATATTTATTAGTAATTATAACTTATGTTGTTTTTATATTAGGACTATATATTCATGTTATGATATGAGCATGTAGATACTGAATAAAAAGGGCCCTAAGATGGACCCTTGAGGAAAGACATATTCTAAAGTTTTGATAGACACTGGATTTCTTTAAACGATATTTGCTTTGGCTCTCCCTTCTGCAGCACAAACTGGCTGTGCTCTAGCTTTAGCTCACCAACTAAAGAAAGTGAAAAAAAAAAAAAAAGGTGCAGCTCAGTTACAGAAAGATGTACAGTTGTTGACACAACAAAACCTTTCAACAAAAATGTTCACATGACCTCCACAATGTTTCAATGTAGATAATATATCGACCATGTGTTTCAGAAACATCTGCTTTTGCTTTTCCTGCCCATCAAATATTTCTTGTAACCTTTGGGGATTATAAAAATGTTCCGCTGGTTTTCCGGTCTGCTGCTCTGTCTCCTTTTTATGGCTAAATATTGAACAATGACCTTAACTGATACAAACCATTTCCCCTACTTAAAATGCTTTTCTAGATTGGTGGTTAATATGATCTTTGAGTAATTTGGGTTGATTGATCTTTCCAGAAGGTTGATTACTTATTAAATTTTCTCCCTTTATTGATATCGTTTCAGTGATCACTGTCTTTCACTGATGCCCTAAATCGTTTGAAGTGGTTTAGCAGAGCCACTTCAAGTTGTTTTTTCATGCTTTCTTTTTCTTTTTTTTGTGATCTTGCCCAATTTATTTTGTCAGAAAGGTTTTATTTGAGTAGTTTGTTATCAGTAATGATATGACAGTAATCAAAACGTTGGTGTGGAAGGTCAAATTTTTCTCTCCTGGAAATGGGAGAAACTACAACAATTCATGACTTAACAAGGGGCGGGGTACTTTTTCACTAAGAGCCAAGCTGATGTTTACATTGCTTTATATAATATACGTTATTTAAAAGATTAAAGGAAAAAAAATGTATTTGCAAGGCTTATTTTTAAATCAAGTTTGTTTCCTTTGTGCCTATATTGTCATTATGATAATTGAAAAAATGTAGTTTGATAAAATTCTAACTGTCCAGTTTTATCGTAAAGTCACCATAGACTTAATTTTGGAGGTGATAACCTAACTTGAAAATCTCTTACATTCAGTGAAAATGTTGGAGAACTTATCAACAATACAGCTGTCATGGATAAAAATACAGCCTCCAGGACCACAAATGCCACCTTCAGAAACATGGTATTTAACTGTCCTCATTTAGCATTTCACATATGCATTAAATGTTCAGTCTTGTTTGAACATTCTGTATTTTTCTTCAACAGTCTATTAAGAAAATAAAGCGAGCAGACAGGAAGGGAGCTGAATCCGTGACAGAGGAGAAGTTTGCCCTCATGTTCACTGCAAACATCGCAATCACAAATTATGAAGTGCCTTTCAGGATACAGGTTTGTCCCAGAACCTAATTTGCTCTATATCCTCACACTATGTGCAGCGCCAGTCAGCAGGGATGGGAGATGTGGAGCCATTAAGTTATCTCTATGTCATGTATTTATTCTGCCCTTTGTCACCTAACCAGGTGAGTTCTATCGGCAGAGTGAATTAAATTGTGCAGATTGGACTACCCTAGTTCAATGGCTGGGCAGGACAAATACATGGCATGGAGATGACTTGTTGACTCCACATCTCCAACCTCTGCAAGTCAGAAGCTTACATATATTGTTTATGCGCATGAAGATTATATGCAAATTTTGCTTTTCAAAATGTAGTTGAACTTTAACTTCAAGAGTTCACGTATATAGTATATTGCATTACAGTTGCTGAAATTAGTGGTAAGGATAATTATTATGGTTAACCCTTATTTTCTATCTTTACATTACTATACATAAATGCTCCAAACTGCTCTGCATGAACTCTAGTCACATAAAGAAATACTCCCGGTGTGGTGGTTAAGCCACAATAGAGTCCATTCAGCTGAATATATGGACTTAATAAGTCAATTTACCTTAGTCCATTGTATTATTATGGTGAAATATATCAAATTAATTAATTTATTACTCCTAAATGAATAGGTGCGATGAACTGATTTACTGATATTCGTCATCTTCTGCTGATCGAGGGAACAGGAGTCTCAGCAGAGATTTCCAGACTTCCTTCTCCCAGGACAGCTGAAATACATGGACCCTCCAGCATGTTTTGGAACTTCCCGGAACTTCCAATTGAAGGCGTTCAGGGGCCATCCAAAACAAATATTCAAGCCAAATCAGCTGACTCCTCTTTAGTCAGATGGCCGAGCTCCTCACCATTTATCTAAGGGAGTGCATAGCCCCTCTGCAGGGGACTATTATTTCAGCCAATTGTATCTGGAATCTTGTTCTTTTGCTCATGGCACATATTTAATGATCATAGGTGTGTGTATGAATGTAGAACAACCAGTAAAAAGAGAAAAGAGAGTTTTGCCTTTTGGCTCAACTTTCATTTGACCACAGCGGACTGATGCAGCATCCACATTATGACGGTGGACGAAGAGATTTGCCTATCGATCTCCCACCTTATTGTACCCTCACATGACAACCGAACCCCAAACTCTTTGAAGTCCTCCAGCTAAGTAACACCCCTTCAACTGGACACATGGACTTGGACTGTGAAGAGCTGATCTTTATCCCAATCACTTCAAACTCAGCTGTGAACCACCCCTGCACATGCTGTAGGTCTTGGCAGGAAAAAAAGCAGTAAAAAGCAATGACGAAGTCTGCTTGTCCCCAAAGCAGAGGCCCTTTAGTCCTTGGCTCTACCTAGAAATACTATTCCTGAAGGTTATGAACAGGGACCAGTAACAAAGGAATCCGACATGCACTGGAATCAGCTACAACCAAATGTCAGAAATGTGGACCAGACTTCTGCTCCACCTTACAGAAACTAAATGTTCCCTTGTAGGGTGTCACCAATTTCATATTCCAAACTCAAGGACCCTGTAGGTGGTGTAAAGCTGGTCCAGTGTTCAACAGCCAGGACAAAAACAACACTGTCCTCCTAAAGCCGATGTTTGAGAGTCAGCCTGACTCTCTTCTCCAGTACCCTGGCACAGGCCTTCCCAGGGGGGCTGAGAAGTGATTTCCCCCTGTAGTTGGAACACACGCCACGCTCTCTTCTTGTTAAAACCACCACCCCTGTCTGCTAGTCCAAGGGGCACTGACTGCCTTGTGATACGGAAGGGCTTGTCAACATCGAGAGCCCAAAAACATCATGAGGCCAAAGTTTTCAGGGCAGATGTCATCCACTCCTAAGGCTTTGACATGGTGGATTTTGTTTTGACCACCATTGTGACATAGAAAGAACAAGTCAAACTCTGATCATCCACCCTTTACTTTAACTGGGAATGGCATGACAGCGTAGTAGAAGATATCTTTTAAGTATTCCTTTCACGATTCAAGTTTTCTCAGTTGTTACCAGTAGTTTTCCTCTCTGACATTAAACAAAGCACTGTTTCCCCCTCTGCAGACGTTCAATCATTGGGGCCGAACAAAAATCTTTCTCCATGGTCACTCTGAACTCTTCTCAGGCCCGATACTTTGCCTCTACAGTTGCCCTGGCATGCTGGGTTTCACTGTACCTGTTTGCTATGTCCCCAATCACCCCAAAATCTAAGAAAAGTTCTCCCAGATTTGGAATTGAATATTTCCCTGACCAAGGGCTTTGCCAGATGTTCCAAGGAGATCCTGTGACTTACTTGGCCCTGCAGAATTTGCCTAGCTTCCTCCTCTTCCATCATATCCAACTCACCACCAGATGGTGATTGATGAAAAGCTCTGCCCTTCTTTCCACCTGAATGCCCAAGGCATATGGCCGAAAGTATAGATAAGCAGGGTATATATGCACTACACATTTAAATATTGTATCCTGCCACTTACTGAACCAGACATTTATTTTCAAATTGGATTTTTCTCACAGTTATTTGAGGTTGTGATTTAATGTATTGTCTTTGTCTTATTCAGACAATTCCTTCCTGTGTTGCAATAATTTGCCAGGCACCAATTTAAATTGCTAATTTGCCTCGACCTTAAAAGCTGTAATGCATTTTCTATATATTTGAGATTAGAGCTCTGCAGAAAATACATTTTGGCTACTTTATCCATTTGCACCCTCGTTTAGATGTGTACTGGTGCAATTCAGGATCCAGAAAGATTCAGTCCTGCCAAGAAAAAGACACAACTTAAACACCAGGGTCACTGTCCACAAAAAGTATAACAGAAATAGTTTGCTCATTAAGAAAATCCTGCTCCAAACTCTACATATTCAAGCCAAAGTTGCAGTTGAATTTGTCAGTTAAAGCTCTCACAAAATAAAACAGCTTTAAACAAGAAACTTCATAAATAGTACTTTCATTGTAAAAACAACTTCACATTTTCTGACATTGCTTGTTACAGATAATCTCTCAGCCTGTTGTCATCATTGTTCACGGGAGTCAGGACAACAACGCAGTAGCCACGATCATATGGGACTGTGCATTTGCTGAACCAGTAGGTATCAAGTTATTATTTGGTTGTAGTTTCCTCTTTTGGAAGCTACGAATGTTTGTATTTCTCCTTTTTAACTCTAAAATTCTTTATCCTCCTGTGCTGTCTTGAGTTTTAGGAAGCATGTTTAACATGTTGCTTTTGACATCTGGCACAGCAACTACCCAACCTAAGTAGAAGAAAATAATTTACACAGAAAGGGAAACATTAACAGAATATTAAAATGAGAGAACACTCTTAAGTTTTCTGTTTGTTTCTCCCCTCCTTGTTTGCTCTTTGCTTCCCATAGTGCTTCCTAGCACTGTGTTCTCACCAAGCAACTAATCTTCCTCTTGGTCCAGCCATGCTTGTGATCTATCCTTCAGCATAATGCTTTCTTTCATGACGCTGATGTAATAAACACTGCAAAAGAGCTGTTGTTTTGGAGATTATCCGAACTAGTTGTTTGTTATCGTGGCATTTCATGTTGAAGTAAAATGTGGGAATATTTTATCGTAACCTGGTGGGCCACCGCATTAAAGATGCTCATTAGATGCATTGTGATTATTTCTTCTAAACCTTTGAAGCTGGTAGATCTTTAGTTTGTGACATTGTAGACGGCACTTCTTTTGGCCCTTGCCTCTACGGTTTTTTGAGTTCACCTTGCATATATCAACATAGTTTTTTTTATCTAGAAAATTATGGTAAGTATGAATAAGATTATTTAAATATTTCAGTATTTTTTTAAAAATCTTTAGTTCCTTGCTTATTTTTCTCCTTGCCTTTGTTCCTAATGTTATCCTACCTTTCTTCTCTTCTTCTTAGTGTCCCCCTTAGGGCTGTCACAATTAAATTTGTTGTTGGACAATAAATTGCTTCAGAAATTGTTGTGATAAACATTAATACTATCATTTGGAGACCATTTCGGGTTATAAAATTATAATGATACAATATTACTGGCACTTCCTCTCAAACATAAACTTTAATTTCTATAGAAGATTTGACAAGACAGCCAAAAACACCCTAAAACAATGAGTAAAATGGACTCTCAGTCTTTGTTAACAAAAAAAAGAAACTACATAAAAACTAACAAGAAAATCAATAGAATAGAAATAAAGACCACATGCAACTTTGGGTTATTTAATGGAATGTCTGCTTCCTTGATAGCAGAGTGGGTTGTTTGGCCCTGTCCCATTTCTCTCACTTGGTTCTGAGACATCTCCAGTGAGTTACTTCTTACAATGAAGTATACTCAATGAGGAAAGTGCAAGTCAAGATTTTCTCCCTAAGAAATGGGACACCACTAGTTTTAAAATGACATCCCAGTCCAGTTGATGGCAGTAATAAATAGCCTGTACACTTCAGTTCACGTCATGTGTAAACTCAACCTGAGTCACAACCTTCTGCATGGAAACTCTGCATCACTCATAATTTTTCACCAGAGACATGCATAATATTTAACAACAAATATATTGCAAAACATAAAAAGTCAATTTATGAGCCAGCATGGATAATTAAAGATATCACAACCACCTCTAAATTAACAGACAATCATGGTAGTATAATTAGCTACGACAACTTTTTGATGAAATATCAGTTTCCAATAAGATACAAGGAATACAAACCAGTTATTTAGTGCATCCCAATGGACTCCAACAATTTTTAAACAATTTACTCCAACTTTGACCACCAAATTGTTTCTCATGGACTGTATTTTTATTTTTTATTTTTTTTTGGCACCAAATACTATAAGAAACACATGTGCAACAAATTTCAACAATCCAAATGCCTCAAACCAAGAGGCAAATTCTACTGGAATTCCAGTTTTAATCGAACAGACTGGAGCAAATCACATTCGCTACCTCATCAATGTCCCCTTAACAATAAAGCATGTGAAATTTATTTTAAAATTCTTTATAACATCTATCCTAAAAAATAATGAAATAGCTAAATATCTTGAAATAAATCCAAATAGTTCCTTCTGCAATATTGAACCAGAACTAAGCCATCACATATTCTTCACATGTCCTGTAAACACATCATTCATGAAAGGCAATAGAGCAGTACTTATCTTAAAAATTAAACTGCAGCAGTTTTTAACCTATTTCTTGGGCGCTGGTGACATTTCTCTGTGTGGCCAACCAACAGAGAAGAAATGTGCAAAATCGTATTTTGAATCATTTATTAAGACAAAAGCTTAGCCCAGGAACTACAGAGATATTACTCATAAATTTGAAAAATCATGCCTTATGACAGGGACCATGTCTGCACGCTGTGCAGTTAAAAAAGGGCTATGAGAATTATGCATAACATTATACCATCTATGCTGCTATAGTGACCGTTGCAATTCCACACGTCAAGATAAAAATGGTGATTACGTGATACTATTGGTTAGAAGCCCAACACCGGACACCAATGCCCTGCGCAGGCAGAGGGATCCAGTCCGGGGGGATCAGACTGAGGGACCCAGCTCCTCCCAGAGCAGCAGAGACACGCTGGCCGAAATTATTGCATGTCTCGCTCCGCCTAGCTCCACTCACATACATCTGGGAACCCGCTCATTGAAAGTGATTTCCCCAACCGAATTTATGGTCTGTCCAATCAGGACGCAGGGCGGGTGTGTCCTGGAGTGGAGAAGCGACCGTGAGATTTCAACAACAATGGCGGCTCGCATTGAGGAAGCAAGCGTTAGCATTGCTGCTGCTATTTCTTCTGTGTTGTCCAATCTATCTGATATTGTTTCATTAAAAGAACATCAGAGAACGGCTTTGAAGGCTTTTGTTGGTGGAAACGATGTTTTCGCCCTTCTCCCGACCGGATTTGGCAAGTGCTTGATCTACCAAATGCCTCCTCCTCTCACAGCGTCACGGGTTAGCTTCGGTGTGAGTGGCTGAAATAGCATGTCAATAAAGATGACAGACAAGTGGCTTATCCAATCATATGCAAGGAGTTTTGATAAGGCCCAGCCTTCAGTAAAGGCAATTTCTATGGCGGGTTCCCAGATGTATGTGAGTGGAGCTAGGCGGAGCGAGACATGCATCTGGCTGTTGTCAGGTTAACCGTGGTCATGATCATTCTACTTTACGTTAAAAAAAAAAGAAAAAAAATTTGGTAGATTTTTATAATATGAAAAATAGCAATAATGCAATAAATTTAATGTTTTAACACAACAGTAAGGAATTCAGTTGTATTTACGTCTAAGATATTTCAACATATGTTTTTTAAAGATGCGTGGTTGACCCCCTAGCTCTTGAAATTAATGGGGTGCAAAACGAGAGTAAGTGAGAGAAATAGGACTGTACCTCTCAGTATTCAATTCAATTCAAAAATACTTTATTAATCCAAAAGGGAAATTAAATCTTGCAGTAACTCATAGTCTTTTTTTTTAACCAGGTGTTTTAGGTGTTTATAGCTATAGGCAGGAATGATCTCCTGTAGTGGTCTGTCTTGCACCGGATCTGGCGAAGCCTCTCACTGAAGACACTGTAATTGTTTAAAAATATTCTTTAGAGGATGCTCACTGTTTTCCATAGTTTTTTTTTTTAATTTATGGAGAATGCTTCCTCGGGAAATAATCTCCAGAGGTTCTAGAGGAGTTCCTAGAAAATAGCTGGCCTTCTTAATTAGCTTGTTGAGCTTGTTTAAGTCTAATACTGTTACCCAAACTGTGGATGGAAGAAATTCCTTCCCTCTAAGAATCCTCATTTCTCAATCCTTGAATCTTGATTTGATGTTTCCCACTCTCCATCCGTTCTTGTGACTTTAATTTTTTCCCTCCTTTGATTATCCATTCTGTCTTCTTTTCAGCTTCCTTTTTGGACGGTTTTAATAAAAGTGATGATAAACTTAAAAATTTTGATTTTTAATTTTGCATTTAGGAAAAGTCTAAAAAGTGTGCAGAAACCCTCTGTCATGTTTTCTTTTGCAAATGAAAGGGAATATTATTTTTCAATTCCATTTTTTTGCCAAAAGATTTGAGACATTGCTAAGAAATAGAATTAGGATCATTCAAATCCAGAAAGCAGTTTTTGATAATCACTGGTTTGAATGTAACAGTGGCTTACAGCTTAAGAGGCAGCAGCCTCTAAAGAATCTTAATGGTATTCACTATTTTCATGTTTTTCTCTCATGTCCTTAGGAGAGATTACCCTTCGTTGTCCCTGACCGTGTACCTTGGAAGATGATGGTTGAAACTTTGAACTATAAATTCCGCTCAGAGGTCCAAACCAATCACGAACTTGACCCTTTCAACCAGCACTTCTTAGCCCAGAAGATTTTTGATCAGCCTGAATATACAGATGACTTCAGCAACATGATGGTTACTTGGTGCCAGTTTAACAAAGTAAGCAGAGATATGTCACATTTTCTACCAACATCAGATGGTATACAAGGCTAATTTTTACCTTTTTACCTTACAGGAGGTTCTCATGGGTCGAAATTTCACTTTTTGGCAGTGGTTTGAGGGAGCAATGGATCTCACTAAGAAACATCTGGCGTCCTACTGGAGTGACGGGTGAGAGCACGCTTTTTGTCTCTCAGTCAATAATGTAGGAATTCCATATTATTCAGTCTCAATTATCAATCTTTCTTCACTAGGCTTATCTTCGGCTTCATTGGGAAGCAACATATACACCTGATTCTCAAAGAGTGTCACAGTGGAACTTTCCTGCTTCGCTTCAGTGACTCTGAGATCGGAGGCATCACCATCGCCTATGTGACTTATGAAAGTAGGTGTTGGCTTCACAGTTTGAATTACATTTAGATTTAATTTGTCTAGCATATGTCACACAGTCTACTTGATGGCCATTTACTTTTGAATTAAAAATGCTTCGATTTATTTATTTTTATTTAGATTTTGTACCGTTTTTGTATTTCTTTTTAATTGGGAATCTGATATGTTACATCAGATCAAATGAAAGTAGTAGAGATTCATATTGGGTTTTAAGAATGTTGCACAAAAATTGTGTAGTGTAGAAGCATTTTTTTCCCAGCCTAAAATACTTGTATAGCATATAGATATAGTGCTCTCTAATATTACAAGCAGTTAAAGAAATATACCCCTCTCACAAAGCTTTGCTTCATCCATCATTTGAAAAACTATAGCATTGTACTTTTAATTCAGGTGCGAAACCAAGCGGTCTTAAGTAAAAGGGCGCATTAATCAGGGAGTAGAGTAAGGGCTTAAAATAAAATGGCTGCAGAGACCTTAAAGAAACCTGATCATAATGGAAACATTGCCAAAGATAAAGTCATGAGTAATATTGTTTAATGTTGGTCAGAAACTAATTTAGCAAATATATGGGAGAAGGTGCTCTGATTAGATCAGGATTATGTTAAACTTTTTTTTTTTTTTAGTTTTTATGGCACTAGTGGCTCGTTTTTTGCGGCAGTTGGCTGACAGGAAAGGGGTTATGAGAGAGGGGGAGAGAGTGTGGCAAAGGACCACAGGTCGGGTTCAAACCCGGGTCGGCCGTGTCAAGGACTAAGGCCTCCGTACATGGGCCGTGCACATTAACCACTGCGACACCCAGGATTATGTTTAACATTAAGGCTACATGCAAAACATTTTGTGCTGCAAACAACATGGCAGATCACCCTGACATGGTGGTGGAAGCTTCATGTTATGAAGATGTATTTCTACAGCAGGGGAAACTGGCCTTGAAATGATGAAAGATAGGTGGAGCTAAAACAGTGCAATACTGTTAGAGGCTAAAGACTAACAGGTGATGGAGTTTCATTTTACAGTAGGTGAGCTTCAACCAGACTTCAATCTATATACAGACTTGGCAAAGCCATCAGAGGCTATGGACAAATGCACAACACACTATGTTATTCTTCCATTTTCAACCTTGAACACTTAACCATTAGCAGTGACATATTAAACCTACTCTTCCTCTAGATGGGATGCCACTGTTCCAGAACATTCAGCCTTTCACCAAGAGAGATCTTGAGATACGCAGCCTTGGTGACCGCATTCGAGACATAAATGAGATCACGTACCTTTATCCTAACTTGCCAAAACATGACGTTTTTAAAAAGTACTACTCAGGTAAGGTTTTTGCAAAGGCTGCTTTGTGTTTTCCAAATTATTGGTTTTAGAGTCATTAACCAGGGTTTTTTATTTCTCCTCCTGTTTGAAACAGGACGTCCAGCGCCAAACATGTCTGGCTACATTCCTGTGTCTCTGCAGACTAAAGTTGGAGAGTAAGTAGCTGAAAACGTTTTTCATTTGATTTTTTTACAGTGTTCAGTGATGGTCACAATAAAACCCATATGAAATTGTGCAAAATGCTTCAAACCTATTAACCCTTAATGAATTGAAGAGCTCCTTCAGTGACTGTTATCCGAGTTGCACAAAGGAGCAACTTGACATACTTCCTTCCAGCTACAGTTAGAAAATGTACAGCCTTGACTGCTTCTAAAAGGCTCAATAAGTGTTTTAAAACATGCTATTGTTTGAACTGATCAGAATTATTTTCACTCTTTCAAATCCATTCAATATGGGTCTTACAGATTTTAATTGTTGTTGGCAGTGTTTTCACCTCCTCTGAAAGTGTTGCTTCTACAGTCATGTTTCTTATGCAGTTATTGCATAATTTTGTAAACTGTTCCTTTTTTTAGCTTCAAAACTTGAATTTTTTTAACCAATATCTGAATTTTCTTAATAACTGCACAATAGTTTATTTTTGACTGAAATATGTTTTTGTTTTTCTCTTCTCCTACACAGCTTCACTTTTCATTTTCTGTTTTTTTCTGTTATTTAGACTTTAGTGTAAATATTACGTCCTCTGTTCAGCTGATTTTACCACTGTCACCCAAAATTCCCTGCTAGCTTCCTTATCTTTGTTTGAATTCTATTGTTATTTTTGGTTTAATTACATTTGTTAAACAAGAGGCTTCATTTAAAAGGCTGAAATCATATAATGTACACTATTTGTCTGTTTCAGGGAACATCCGCCGGGAGGAATCTACCCATTGTAAGATTACTTTCATAGACAAGTTAATCATTTGAGTGGCAGAGATGGAAACACAAGGGGAAATAAGCAAGCATGTCTACACAAATTATTGTACTTATTTTAATTATAATTGTAATTAGAATTTATTATGCCATTAATTGATTATAGCAACAGCGTACTCAAGACTTAAGACTTGACTTGCAAAAAATGACCTGTGAACAAGTCTGCTATTGTGTGTTAAAATGTACATGGCATGACACTATATTGAAAGATCCTCTATTATTTTATTTTTTGTTATAATTAGAAGATAGGGCTACTGTTTTTTAATTCCTGATTCCTAAAATCGTGAAATTCTGATGAGTTGTTTTTTTTTCCGAGTCATTGTCTAGTATATTTAATATATCATCATCTCAATTGGAGAGTTGTGAATTGATTGGAATCATATTTTGACATACAAACAGATCAATAACACAATTATAGTTGATTTAGACCCATAAGACAGCAGATAAAAAAGGTTTAGGTGTGTTTAAACATTTTTTTGTGGCTTATTTCAAAAACTTATATGTAAGATGAATATAACTATAGGCCATTATACTGAATAGCTATAGGTATTTGAATTCAGGGATTTTTTAGGTTTAGGTTTTAGGACGGAACAACAGTATTCTAGTGTCTGTGTAGGACACATTTGGCTTTAGGTGAATGTTAACATAGCAAGGACTTTATTTATTTTTTATTCTAAGTATGCAAGTATTTGGTTATCTATCTCATGACCTTACTAACCTCATTTTTCCTTAAAATTTATTTTTAAGGGACGAAAATTTGCCAGACTTGAGCCTGCCCATGTAAGTGTTTGTCCATCACTTTTCTCTATATAATACCACTGTATAACGACGAATAATTGTATATTCAGTCAGAAAAGGTTACCTGCTTGCTGCTAAAAATATTGGGATAATCAGATGTTTAGGACTGCAAGTCTTTTATACACAATTAAGATGCTCTCCTATATTTGTTTTGATTAAGGGAAACAAAGGTATGGGCTTTTCCACAGCGCTATTGATTCAAGAACTGCCACTGACTGAAACTAAAAATAATTAAAGCCAGTAATATACATACCTAAACTCTCTCCACTGTCACTTTTTTCTTGTTGTGAACTCTTAATATAAATGGAAAAGACAGAACTTTATCAGGGCGGTGCAGTGAGTAGCACTGCTGCCTTGCAGCAAGAAGGTTGCGGGTTGATTACCAGCCCGGGAATCTGCATGGAGTTTGCATGTTCTCCCTGAGCATGAGTGGGTTTCTCCTCCCACAGTCCAAAATTGGCTTCTTCTTCTCTTCAGGTGTTAGTGTGTGCCTGAATGGTTGTTTGTCTCTGTGTTGCCCTGCGATGGACTGGTGACCTATATAGGGTGTACCCTGCCTCTTGCCCGTAGACAGCTAGAAATAGGCACCGTGACCCCACTTGGGATTAAGCATGTCAGAAAATGGATGGATAGATAACATTAACACCAATATCAGTGTCACGTTTCAACAACTTTAATTTAAAAAAAGAATGAATAGTGTGACATAAAAAAAATGCTAATCCTTTATTGTCCCTTAATGAGGAAGTCTGACTCTTCCCAAACTTCTTGAATATTATGGGCTCTGCCATGTTGATTTGCTTATTTTCCTCTAGAGAGCAGAATTACCCTAGATCGTCAGTAGGAGGCGAGGAACCGTGCTAGCGTGGGCAGCATGGATCGGTTTTCAGAGGATAGTGTAAATGGGGTAATTTTTTAATGTAGCTGGGGAAAGAAGCCTTTGCTATGCTTGTGAAGGTAAAACCAAAATTCTAAAGGTCCGCAGATGGGCTATATTAACAGTTTGTAATCTTCAGCTATTGCTTATTTGGTTTAGTTTATAAAACAGGATAAGTATCCACTGCACACCGATAATTTGGACTCCGGATGGCTAACCCCCTCCCCAAAAATCAAATTTCATCCAACTAATAAGATCCATTACTAGTTATCACAAACACTTGATGGAAGGGGATGTCAATTGTTTTACATTCCTGGGTAAGCTTGGGTCAGAGGGCTCTATTTTCGTAACTAATTAAAATTATGCTATAATTGGATTTAGAATTTTTTCAGTTTTTTTATAGTGAGAGAAAAAGCAAAAAAAATAGTTTAGGAGGTAAATACTTATTCACAGGTATAGTGAAGGATATTCTTTTTCTGGGTGGATCATCTAAATAAGTGGTCCTCCTAATTGTCAATCATTCTGGTGATATGTTTATGTAAGGTGGTCAGTCTGACATAGTGGAAAAATTGCTTCTTTTGGAAAGTAAGCTTGTATGAGCGATGCAAACAGCAACTTTTAAATAGAGCATGCACGAGGAGAAATGGGCACGCGTTTAATAGGCGTTCCCTCTCGGGAGCTGTTACAGGGTTGTGCATGTGCATTTTTTTAAGTGGAGAGGATGGGTCTTTTAAAAAAAAATGTATTATTGAACATTGATGTTGACATATTTTGAATCAGGTTTTTCTCATTTGAAACTAAAATAATCCTGCTTACGAAAAGGCAAAAAACTGTTTTTGTAATATATTTTTTTTTATTTTAGGGAGGAATTCAATGCGGCTTTGGGGAACTTACAGATTCCTGATGATGATACTGTGGACGCTCCTGCCTTGCCAACGTATTGTTTTTCTGTTCTGTTAGATTAAATTATATTATCTAGTAGCATGTTATTCAATTTTCAATGATCCATTAAGGCTATGAAAAATAGTAACCATATTTTTGTTTGCTTGTTTTCTAGTGCATCAGATTCGATGGATTATGATTTTTTCTCCCTGAACTGTTAGAAAAATCTCCTACTGGCTGATTTTTGAGATCAAGACAGATTGCAAGTAAAGAGTGAAGACAACCTTAGCCTACATGACTCAAATGCTACAGTATGATCTGAGTGTAAATAGAAACTCTTGTGAGTCTAAATATATATTTCTGTTTAAGAGTGGTAAAATGTGATCATTGCCACTAAAGCTAAAGTTTGTGATGGGAATGGCCGCTATACTCAAATAATCGCCAGTAAGTATTTGTTCCACATCGCACTGGTCTAAAGTTTCCAATGAAAGTCTCCCAAATCGTTATTTGACTCATTTTACCTATGTAGTGCTTTCATTCATCTCTGTTTCAAAATCTGAAACACTTAGATTGAACAATCCAGAAATGGATTCTACTTCTATTGTCCAAAATAACTTTGAAACCATTTTAGAAAAATAGGACAATTATAGTCAAACGAGAACTGTTCAATAGTTGTTGCTATCTTCCTTGTTGTGCTTTCTCCAGCAAACAAAGATTGTATGTATGTTAAATGAACCTAAATTCAAGATTGATATGACATCCCTGCTTCGATTTAAGTATTTATCTCTGCTACTAATCTAAGGAACCTAATATTATAAATTCACTTTGAGTACTTTAAAGCAACAACCCATCTGACTAAAAGGGCTTTTCATGTCATTTGTTTTTTATTCTTAATGGTGCAGTTATTATGTCGCTATATGGGGGCTGGAGGATGTGTTCACACTTTATTATTTTCCTTCCTTTGCTTGTATTAAGCTAAATAAGATAATTGTACAGCAGCAAGCTCTGTAAGCCATAATCTACTGGAACCTATCAGATGTTATTCTATTCTTGTTATCTTGTTTTGTGTTTAGTAAGGTAGGGTGTCATTTATTGGATTGTATTTTACAATAGTATAACCTGTCTTTACTACCTAAGTACTTACTACAGCATGTTAAACATTTTAATACCAAATAATAGTACACAATATAGATGCTGCAGCTGGGGTTTAGACCGAGTTATTGTTCTTTGTTAAAGTGGGCTTTGGTAACACAACAAACATTTGGCTTTTCCGTCACTGCTTAATGCAGTACTATACCATGTTGATGGACACTCATAACAGATGGCAGATGCGCTACAGGTTGTGGGTAAGGCTTTGGTTATAACTGCGTTAAAAACTTTTATTTGTTATTATATTTATATGTCAAGCTCTAGCTGCTGGTATTTTTCCAAAAAGCTTAAGTAAACACACACTGCTGTACATGCATACAGCTATCTCATATTATTAGTACACAGGATGGATCATTGGCCCATCACAAAGACACACAAAACTACATCCACACAATAGTTGTCTGGCCAACAACAGTGATGACAACCTCATGCTATACAGATTCTAGTGTGTACTGTTGTAAATAGACTGCTGCAAATGAATGTCTCTCAATAAGAATCTGTGCTTTTAAACATTTTAATAGCATTTAAGATTAAATTACATTTTGCAAAAATCCCAACGGTATTTTAAGGGATAGTGATGACTTTTTTTTAAAGAGCTTTTGTGACGATATGTAGATAACTATCTTACCCACAGTCTAATGAAATCTTAACGTTTCAGGCAAAACTTTAACTTGCTGTGTATATTTTTTCTCTTTGTTCGTAGCAGAACTTTGCTCAGAGGGAACCATTTTTCACCTTCAGTTTTACATCACATGTTGCAAATTTAAATGTCCTTGTTACAGACCCTCCATGGTGGTCCTTTGTAAGCAGCCAGTTAAGTTAAACTTAACAACGGATTAAAGTTGAAAGGGGATCTTTGAGTCTGTAATTATTTTAACAAGACTGTAGACTCTGATTAGGTTATGTGGTAGTTTCATCCTCTGGGAAAAACAAATCTCTGTTTCTTAAGAGCAGTAAGATATAAAATGGCCACAACTGCTTTACAAAAGCCTGCTTTGCTTTAAGAAGAATGTTTTGTGATGAAAGAATTAATTCTTTTTATTCTTTTGAATTAAAACCCTTATTAAAAAGCACTTTTTGGATTAAGTTGAAAAGGTTCAGTTTTTCTTAAGCCATCACTTTCATATTTTTTGCATGTAAATTGTTCAATGTTCCTTGTCATGTGTCTGTTTCATACTTTAAGGAGTTTGTAGGTTTTGGTAGACCTCTCTTGATTATTGTGATGCCATACACATAAGATTTCAATTTCTGTAAAACTGAAACTCCCAAAATAATTGAGTGGATTTATTTGCAAATACTATTCAGCTGTTAGTTTCATTATTTCAAAACACTTCATTTTCTTGACAAGCAGCAGATAGATAATTTGAAAAAATCGCATTTAAGGTTTGTTTATACACATTGGGGCCAGAAATGTGAAATATTACATGTACTCACTGTTCCATATGTCTGTCCAGATTTTGCTATATACAAATGTCCTTTCTGTATTTGATTGTATACACTCCAAATAAACCCAAAAAAGAACACAAACAAAAAGAAAGAAATTGCAAACTGATTTTTTTGCTTGTTTTTTGGACATGGAAAATGAATAATAGCCAAACTTTGCCAGTTACCACAAAGGATGACCGATTAAATGGGGGTACATAGCAAGTTCAAATAGCCTGTATTCATATGAATAGCAATCATCGTATTCATTTTATCAGTCCAGTTTTCATTCAGTTGCAACAGTCCTTTAAAAAAAAAACTTTCACTGTACATCTTAACGTTTCCATTGGAAAACAAATTCTAATTTCAATATGTTCTTTAAATTTAAATTCTACTGAACCACAGCCATTGAAATCACACTGGGGTACAAAAAGAGAGGTTATTATGTAGAGAAAGCAGGAAAGGAATCGGTGTACAAAGTTTGGTTCAAGAAATGTTTTGGTACAATTAGCAAAGTGCTAATTCCTCTCTGAGCCACATATCAAAGGAAGGAGAAATAATGCACGAGGGAGAGAACAAATTCAACTTCAAACTTCATTTTTTTCCTGTAGACTGTATGAGGATAAAGATGCATAATTTGCACCCTGTAAAAACACACTGAAGATTTAAACTAATTTACAAACAGCTTTTTCTAGTTATTTCAAATTGGATCTCCATTTACCACCGACTGCAGACTCCTACAGAAAGCTGTCTTACCTCATATATTCTGCATATTCTAATCCTTATTCAACATAAAACCCTAAACATTCTAAGTTGTAAGATGCATTATTTATTGGAGAGAAAAAATGCCAATAAAAATAAAATACCTGTTCTTCTTAACAGTGGGTCCAGTTTGTCATTAGGAGGCATAGAGAATAAAAATCTAATAACTCAAACACACCTGTACATGAATCTTTGGTGAAGCGCTGCTCTAAAACTTGGGAGACGAAATTGTCAGAAAGTCAAAGAAAGTGTAAACCAACAGAAATACTGTATATAATCCAAATGTGAAAGATACAAAAGCTAAACCTAATACAGTAAATGCTACAGATTTGGGTGGAATAATACAAATTTAAATGGGCATTTATTAAAGAACTATCGAAAAAGAAAAACATTTTATTTAACCTATGAATTATTATTTTAAAATACTGCATAAAATGCAGATTTTTAAGTGTTTGAAAGGGGCTATGTGTCAGAATTAAATCCTAATCAATCCATCTAAAGGAACAATCTAATTAGATCAAACATGAATTGACTAGGCCTTTCGTAATCATTCGCACTTTTTCAATAAAGGCAAGAAAAAGACATTTTTCAATCAATGCAGCATCAAAACTTAGAATACAAACAATTCTGGCAATTAAATTCAGAAAAAAAAATAGTTAAAACAAGCATACACATGCACACAGACATGCAGGCACACTCAGTTTGTCTTTCTCACCTTCACTCTATCACACCCATGTGTACACATGCACATACAGCTAAAAGAAAGGAAATAAGGTCAGAACTTTATCAATACATATTTTCAGCCAAAGGTCATGAAACAAAACAAGGAGCGAGGTCACGCTGGATCAAAATGAAAATGCAGGCAGAGGTCCATTGTTCTACTGTAGCTTCACTCCTAGCAAAATAAAAGGTGTGAGAAATAAACAAAAACAGAAGTACTGTCATGGCAGTTATAACTGTGTGGTCAGCCAGAAGTAACCAATTAACCATGCTACAGGCGGCTGGTCGCATCATATGGTGGCAAGTCCTCAACCACTCCCGCCCCTCCTCCCCTTCCAGAAGAGGGCATGAAACGTTGGGTGGAAGTGAGATCGCATCGTGTAAGATATTTAGGGCTGTTTGTCCCTTCTCAGTAGGTCCCACAAGGAGCAAAACATGAATTACAAAACGGGGCTTTGTATCACTCTTTGAGTGTTGATAAAGAGGGAGGAGGTCTGTGTGCAAAAAAAGTGACAGGGCTGTGGATGGAGAAGAAACCAAGGGTTCAGAGGGTGACATGAAAGGTGGAAGGTGTGTATGGAGGGGTTTGGGGGTCAAATAAATATCTCCAGATTTATAGGGCCTGTGTCTTGAGCTCAATGGATTCTCCCCTGGTCTCCTGCTGGGCCTCTGCCTCTGGGGGCCGGGTGCCCTTCAGTGTGGCGAGCCTCTCAGAGAGCCCACGCATGCGCGGAAACAGCAAGAAGTCATAAAGCAGAGCTCCTATTGCACCTCCGATCATGGGTCCCACCCAGTACACCTAAAAAAAATGGGAAAAATCAGCATTATCATATTTAGAAACACCACAGGGATCCGGTTTAGACATTTTTATTGTAAAGTAAACATGTTTAAATATCTTACCCAGTGGTTAATAAAGTTCCTGACAAGCACAGCAGGGGCGAAGGACCTTGCTGGGTTCATTCCTGCTCCTGTGTAGTACATCTAAATGACAGACAGATCAAATGGTTCAGAGTTACTGATGCTATTTTATTTTCTTTAAAAACATGCTGGTCATAACAGTGAAAAGGTATTAAGGCTTCATCTTACATTTCAATGTGTTGGTATATTTAAATATAAAATACTTAATTTGACTTAAATGTTTTTGTAAATGTCTTTACAGTGCAAAGCAGAGCTTGTATGCTCTGCTTTTGTACGTTCTCGGGAAACATTTTTCCAGACCAATTAGCCAAAGATACAAACAACCTGGAACATTTTGTAGACCAGTTTAAACCCCTTTCAGCCTGAATATATTTTCAGTCATGTGTTATAAAAATTTTATTGGTGTTTTTGCAATCAGAGATCCTAAATTAAATACAAATAATTTATCAGTATAGCACAGTATTAGTATTAGGTATTAGTATGTTTTTATGCAGAATTAGACTGTCATAACCCTGGCTGCTATTTGTTAACTTGCAATGCATTCTTAGTGTATCTCTTATATTGGTCAGAATGATACCAGTGGTGTATGTTTGCCAAATCTACTGCATCAAGACTGAGAACAGTTTTAGGCACAAAAGTAAAAGTAATGAAGCTCAGCAGCTTCATTTCGAGGCTGAGGCCCCCATTTCGTTTCCTTCTAGGGCTTTCAACCAGGCTTGCATTAGGGCTCATAGAACAGCAAATATGCCATTTTCAGCCAAACCAATGTTACACACCCTATTCAGAGACCTTAAGGAGCAGCACCACATACCCAATAGAATCATTCTATGACCCCTTTAAAGCATTTACAACTAATAACTCAGAATGCATGAAAATTGCAATGATAAAATGTTTACCAATATAGACAACCACCAAGTTCATTTTATGGACACAGTGAGCACCAAAGCACAATTAATATAGATTAGCAGCATTTCAAAATGTAAACATGACAAAGCAGCCACAACAACCAAGAATGTCTTTATTACTGCTGCTCAAAAAAGACCTATTACTTTTGAGAATAAGAAAACAACTTTGAGTCATGTTTGAACTGATGCAGCTTGGGCTGTAATTTAATAGAAACTAGAGGGTGTTTACTTTCAAATGATGTATCAAACATGTAATTTGGGCATAGAGTTCCTAAGTTATTTGCTTTTCCATTTCGGAACGCAAAATATGATAGAGTTTCCCCAAATTGAGTTGGTTATTAAGATGTTAATCATGCACAATTACAAGTTGAGGATACACAGAAAAAATCTTTCACAAACCTTGCTAATTTACATTTAAGTTATTTACATTTATTTACATAAAGTAAGGACCGGAGAGAGGACCCTTCATCTCTTTCACTGTTGTTAAGTTCTTTAAAATTGAAGTACTCCAATTAGATTATGACTTCAATCCATACTGTAATGGTAGAAATAGGATTCAAACAGTTTTCATTTCTGGTCAACTGGAGCAGGAACACATTAGTGTTGCAGGACAGTTGTGTTTAATGTTAGGATATTATGATTGTTTAGTCGAGGATTTTCACTTGTAACAGTGAAAATAAAGAAGGAATTTTTCTGATCAGAAACCCCATAGCTCCTCAATTAATATAGAAGGTCTTGTTTGTGTGCCCTTAACTTGCAATAGTAAATTCATGTTGCCCTCATGAGAAGGAAATTGTTTTTCATCCTTGGAGGACATGCCTGCAGATGGAAATTATCCATGGCTAAATCAGTTATAAAGCATGTCTTATTTTATTCAGATTAAATGTTTACGCATTTCCCCTGAAAATTAAGTAATGAACCTTATAATAATGCTTAAAAAGCTTATGCCTGTATGAAAATGTAGTGTTTATTAATTGTTTTGATCAACCCTAAAAGAAGTTTTATAATTCTGCAGCCGATGCTAGTTTCTTACCCCAAGAAGATGTCCAATTAGCACAGAGAAGCCGATAGCCAGAGCAGCAGAGCCCAGGCGTCCGTTGCGCCTCTCATCTGTTACAGCAAAGACGCAGATAACAAGCTGCAAGGTGAGAAAGATCTCGATCGTGGTGGCCATGCCCAGGCTGATACCTGGCTGCAGCTGTGAAAGTTTGACAAAAATAAAAAAAAAGAAGTGAGGTGAGTTCATGAAGAAAACACTGAAAGTGAAAAAAAAAAATCTAGAAAACAAAAGGTGTGCTTTAATTAAGACATATTATGAAACCGCTTATATTTGAGCTACTTCATTACATTGTAGAAGATTGTAATAAATGCCAGCTTAGTCAATTGAGTATTCAGGTTTATTTCAGACCACTTTACCGTATTTAGTGCCAGGTTTCCTCTCATATTGTTGGGCGTGACTCCATATAGCACAGCAGCTCCAGCCAGCGCACCAAGACACTGGGCCACGATGTAGAAGAAAGCCCTGAACAGGGACATCTGGGATCCGATCAGGTAGGCGAATGTGACAGCAGGGTTGATGTGTCCTCCACTGATGTGACCGATAGACTGGATGAAGGTGGCAGCCGCCAGCCCAAAAGCAAAGGCAACATGAAGAACATTGTGGGGCCCTGTGGTCCAGCGGAGGGCCGCACCCAACCCAAAGAATACAAAAAACATGGTGCCATAGAACTCGGCGAAGACCGCTCGCCAGAAAGACATGGACCTAAACTCCCACATGATTGTACAGAGTCCAAAAGCAGATTCTAAGCAGGTGAGAACAAACTAATCAACCACAAGGTGAGAATGTCTGAAAAGACTGATCAAATAGCACTCAAACAGAAGCTGTCTCTAAAGCTAAATGCAACAACACATAAAGGGCTCAACATGTAACAGTAAGTAACCTGCGACTCTTCCTTCCTAAATCTGTTTTTTGTCATAGAGGGCTCCTGAGTGGAGCAGTAAGCCAGTCTCTGTGCATCTATGTGCCAACCCTCACTCGTTGTTAGAAGAGGAACATGAGTGGACAAATATTAAGTATGTCCTGCAGACATTAAGGCCCTTTATCAGAGCGGGGGGACCACAGAGGTCTTTTTATAACCCGCCAACGCCACAGCAGTGTCACTGAGCCAAGGGGAGGGGTTAGGGGGCAATACCACAAGTCAAAACAATGTCACTTAACCCTTCTCTTGCTAGTTGGTCATTTGGAGAGAGAGCTTGCTCGCTAAAAACAATGAGCAAGATTTCTTCTTTTATTTTTCGTTAAGTAAACAACTTAATTGACTCTTGACTCAACATGATGCAATTAACTCAGACTCAGGACTTGACTCCCTAATTTTAGCATAGCAAACATTACTTATTTACAATGGTCCCATTAATGAAGAAAATTCTAGAGTGGGTATCAGTAAAAATGGGAATTATCCATAGGGGCAGGTGCATTCAGGCCATTTCTATCATACATTGAAATAAAGTTTAACAGATGAAAAGTTTAGCTCTTTATGGGCATCCGTCTTTAATTAAATACAGTCCATTTGAACCCTTGCAGCTGCATATTTGTTATTGAAAAAGCATTGAGATCTGCAGATATCCAAATCCAAGTATCAGATCGGTATCTCTAGTTTGAACAAACAACTTTGAATTCCTAACTTTCATCTAACATTGGATAAAACTGTAGAAGAGAAGCATGAAGAAATAAAGTTGTGCTACTGAATATCATTCAGAAAAAAAAAAGTTTCACTAAAGCCATTGAATTGTTTTTATCAATTATGAGGAGTGAAAAAGTCAGAAAATCAAATGCAACTGCATCTGGCTCTTAATTACAGATTAGCTTTGTTTTATTTGAAAATTTACAAATTAATCTGCTGTTGTTACATTATAAAGACACTTTAGATTATTTCAGTTTCTTATATTTTGCACTATTAATTTTAATATTAATTTTTAATAGAAGTGTTGCAAGTTGTCTTGGTGTGAAAACTTGTTTTTAGCACATTTCCAGTCAAAATCTGTGCTTTCACCTTTTCAATTACTTTCCATTGTGTGTTTCTCATACAGTCTTTGGTGAATTAATAACTATTTTGGGGTGATTGTCACAAAGTCCAGTTTTGCTTATATTTTAATGGTGTTTTCCTCCAACAACCTCTGGTACACAGTAGATCAATTTGACACTACTTGTGAGCTGATTAGCTATTCCTGCAGCAAGGATCCCAAAGCATGATACGTCCACCTCTGTGCCTCATAGCTGGTATGTTTTTTTATTTCATTTTATTATTCTTGTGTATTTATTTATTTATTATGGAATTCAGCAACTGGTTTATTTAACAAAGTTCTCTGTTTTGGTGTTGCAATAAATCAAATTTAAATTAATCTGTCTAAAAATATTTCAAAAGTCATGGCATATGCCTCTTTTACCATTTTTTATTGTTGCCTTCACATTTCTCTTAGATGGGAAATGTCTTTTAAGATATACCTCATTGGTAATTAAAGAAAGGTATGATTAAGGCAGTTTTTGCTTCTTAAATGTCATCCAGGTCATAGCTATTCCAAAAAAAGTAAAAAAATAATAATAATAAAGAACTAGATTTTTGTTTTCTAAGTTTTAGGATTTTTATTTTATGTTGAACATGTAAAATTGTTATAGGGGATAGCTTTAAAAATAGAAATGACTGATCTTCCAAAGGTTTTTTTTTTTTTTTTTTTTTTTTTTGCAGTATTTCAAATTCAAAGTTCAGCTGAAGATGCTGTGAACCATAAGTATCCAGTAATTTCCCAACGTTGTGTCCTGAATAAAAAAAAAAAAAAAAAAGACAACAAAAAATGTTCTATAACAAAACTGATTAGACAGAGCTTTGCATTGTATGCAGTGGATTGGTTTGGAGGCTCAGGTCAGATAAAGCCGTGGAAAATCCACAGCCAAAGAGGAAGAGGGGAGAGACAGCCTGGTATAGAGCTTCTGCACTGGAGCGTCATGCTGACCAGGGCAGCTACAGGGGCGGCCACAGCTCTCTGAAAGGTTTATGCTGAGCTTACTGCTTTTCACCCTATTCAAGCAGGGAAACAAAACGCTAACAGTAACGGTTTCGGCTGTTTTCTATAGCCTGTTTTTCTTGCCTTTACAGTTGAATCTGGGAGCTCCTTTGCCTGCTGCCAAGAGTGGCGAAATCACTAGTTGAATTTTCATTTTCGATCTCATTGTGTTTCAGATTTTCATCAGAGGGGTCAAACATTTATACAAATTCAAGCAGATGATTTGACTGTACATCTCCCAAAAATGTCTTTGGACTGTATTGATTTCTTAAATTAAAAAAAAAAAAAATTATGTTTTCAGTTTATCAGTTAATAAGTTGAACATGCATTTTGTACCCCCCACCCCTATGACTTCTTAAGCCATCTTTTGTAGGTTAAAGCTCACAGTTTTGTTTGGAGGGTGTTAAAAAGATGCTTGCATGGTGCTTTCTGTTCTTTTGCTCCAGACTGCTGACGCATTTATAACCTGCAGCCCCTAAACATCTCACACAGGGGCAGACAATCTATAAAAACAGTGAGGCAGTAAAGACGTACTGGAACAAGAGAAAAATTAAATGACAGCTTATTGTTTGATGCAGGATTTTGGTTTTAAGGAAACTGCTTTTGATTTTTGGGAGGGTTGTACAAAACATGTGCTTAAAATCTGCATATGGCTGGATAATAAATGTTAATGAACATAAGTGTAAGTGCTGACCATATGAAATTTTATGATACTGAGGTAAGGCGGAAATATGGAGTTAGAAAAATTACACACAGCAAAACTGAACAACCAATTTACACGTCATATAACGAAAACAGAAAAGAGGAATAAAGGCTTGTATTTCCCCTTTCAGCTCATATGAAAGTAAAGATGGTAAGTCCCTACCAGGAGGTCCCAGTAAAAGGATGGAAGGCAGAGGTATTTAAAGCGCAATACAGTGATGAGATGGTCAGTTTTTATTTGTTTAGTTACAAAAGTCACCTGCCATTTGCTTTAAATCTGACCACAACTGGAAAAAAGAAAATCAGGGAAAGTTTCACAAGATTCACTGGGATCAAACACACACAATTCTTTCATCTTGTTGTTGAAATCAATGAAGTTTAAGACCATCAACTGGTAAAAAACCTTTTGGCTGTAACTGATCAGAAATGGTGGAGCTGATTTGAACTCAATGGTTTGCACTGTGGTGCATTAAATTAGGTCTGTAATTGGGCCTGCTGTATCCAAACATCAGTTGTAATTACTGTTCTGTAATGTTAAAACATATCTCAAATGAAACCAGCTAATCAATCATTTGAGGTGGAGAAGTATGGAGAAACTGTAGGACTAGTGGCAGCAGGACAGCTCCTCCGCCATAAAGCTACCACCGCTATGCTTGTTAGTGTATAAACCAGTTAGTTGTAAGAGTATTACTTGGACCCCTTTCAAACTTTTAACCATTATGGTTGGAAACATGAAATAATTGCGAGTCCCAACATGAACGTGAACCTGAAAAATGATTAAAGCGCAATTATTTGGTTTCTTGAATGGCCTAAATCAAATAACTTGAACTTTTGGTTTGTGCTTATCGTGCTCTTTTATCCTTCTTGTCTCTGCACAAGATTCTTTACCTCATTTCTTCTTTTAAGTTCCCCCAAAACAGAAATTGATATTTTATTTTAAAGAATGCTAAAATATTAATAAGCTTTTAAATGGAAACAAGCTTATAGCTGATTCAGCTTTCCGTCAGTCATTTAAAGATCGTATGTGTATATTCGTCATGACCAAATTCACAATACATTCACCTAATTATAAAATTGTGTTCAACTTGTAGGTTTTATCATTTTTATTGAGCTTGGAATGAGAACCACAATAAAGTATTAGAATTAGAAGTCAGACCACTAAGGTTTGTGAGTGAAATTGACCCATTACTTTTAGCAATGTAGTGCTCTTAGCTCCCTTTATAAATAATTAAGCAAACTGTTCCGGACTGATATTAGCAGAATAAAAGTAAACAGCATGTTTTTTATATTGTTAGTTTATTAAAAATTCTTAAAGTCCCAACACTAACAATAAACAAGTTTTGATACTTAGAATCAAAAGTATTCAGAGCAGGTTTTTTTAATATGATAAATAATTTTAACCAATTAACAACCTTTAGTGAACTGCAGCCAATTTATCTTCTCACATAATACTTACGGGGCAAAAAATGCTTTCAATATTTCCAACAAAGGAAGATCTCTAAAAGACAGCATTAAGAAAACAAGGCCTCTCCAAGATGTGAACATACAAGATTTAAGACCCCCACAACCATATTCTCACTGCAAATCTGTAGTTGAAAAAACATATCAGCTCATTTAGAATGCAGCAACATATTTTAGAAAAAATGAAATTACAGTTAAATATTTGCAGATGTTTGAAAATCTCAATTTAAAGAAGAATTCTTGCCTCTTAAATTAAAGATAAGTGCAATTTACAATACAAACAGAGGGGAAGTCTGTCATAAGAAAATCTACTTGGAAAATATGCGTTTTTCCTTCTTGTCATTAGAAATCACGTTGTACATAAGCTGACATTGGAAATAAATCCAAAAACAGAAAAAGGAAAGATGGAGAGAAACAGGGTATAAGACATCAGCACATCCCAATGCAGTCATTGAAGTCAGGGAACACATTTTCAATTGAACAGAATTGTCCATGCAGAACAAAACAGCGAAGCACAGCACTGGATGTTGTTACGGATGTCTGTGCATGTCTGTATCCAACAGTCACTCCCTGCAGGGATTTCACTTTGGAAACTGGGTAGAGAGGTGTTCTTCAACATGGCTGCCAACTCATTGTCTAGTTTCGTTCTTTAGACTTTCGACTTGCCTTGATCACTAGTGAGATGGCAACCCTGTTTGCCTACTCAAGGTCTGGCATCTCTGTAAGAAACAGTAACATTTCAGTGAATGTTGAAAGTTCCTGAAGGTTCAGCAAGCATATACTTAATACACATACGGTACAAGACATAGGCTGTGTCCGAACATCCGCCCTAACCCCTCATTCACTATATGGAGCAGGGACTACGTAGTGAACTTCATAGTGAACTCAGTAAACTAGCCATTTGGCCAGATGACTACTACTTTTCACTCCCCGTTGGTCATGTGGCTCCGGCTCCCCCCCACAGTACCGGCACCATCTTTGTTCTTTCTCACCCCCAAACCGAATCCCATGATGCTTTGAGAGGAAAGCTGTTGCAAATCTCTCTGGAATATATCTGATCATCTAATGACCATGGATGCACTCAACTTTTCAAGGTGCATGGAGGGAAATTTTGTGTCCACCTATATTTTTCTTAAATTAAAATTGGGTTGTTGACATTTTTATCACCAGTATATCCAATGTATACAATTGCTAACTGAAGCATTGACTAACCCTGTGACATCACAGTTTGAGGTACTGCAACATGGTGGCACCCTTACCAAATGTTTTTTTAAAGCATAGTTTTTTCTGTTAATTTTGTATATTTCACATTTGTAATATAATTATTGATAATAGTAAGACAGAGCCTTGGGAATGACGTTTGGTTGACTGTTTCACTTCCTCTTTAAGTCATTTTTCCTTCATTTATCTCACACAGTACAAATTATATGGCCTTTTAAAAGTCACACTTACTTTCATCATCACTGTCTGCAGAATCATGCTGAAAGAGAACAAATCTAGTAAATGTCCAGGAAGTACAATCATAGAATGCATAGTTTAGTAAAAAAAAAAAAAAAAAAAAAAACATACCTCTTCTTCTGCACCATCTAAATCAGGTAAATCATCCCCACCCATGCTGTTCATCATCTGGAGAAAAGGAACAAAAGATAAATCAACATGTCAGTTTTCCTAGAACTACTACTTTCAGGTCCGAGGGTCTTCAACCCATTTACCTCTGAGAATTTGTCAAAACTTGACAAGTCCTCCTCCGAGTCATCTTCCCAGTCTTTCCAATTGTTGAAATCCACACTCAGCCAGTTGCACTAGAAATTGAGCAGAGTTTTAACCACAAGATATTTGACATGCAAATGCGTTTATGTTCACAGTTTTTTTTATTTATAATTTTTGAGTAGAATTTTGTTTAATGAGTCAAGGTCATCGTAAAATTTTGATTGACTGAGGGAACTGTTTCAGTGCAGGGTGTCTGTTTAACTTTTTATTTTTAAACCAACAAAAACAGTTCTAATTTACACAAACCATAAATAAAAATATTGGAATAAAATTAAAAAGGTGATTTCAGGTGTATGTAAGACAACATTCAAAACCCAGCAAAAACATATTACTGTCTACAAGAGCCCGTAGAAACAGTCACATCCACTGTGATTTAGTTTGGCTGCATTAGATTTCTTGCACATTTTAGGCCAGTTTTTACCAAGCTCTAACGATCTGTGGGTAGAACTCGTTACCTCCTAAACTTAACCCCTTTTCTTGATTTAAGTTAATTTATGAAAAGAGCAGGCAGAGAGCAACCATAGTGCATAGAGTTTTAGGTTTACAGATGCAAAAAAGATCTGTTAAGAGGATGTTAAAAAAGCTAAAAACCTAAACAAGTGATTTATCTAACTAGGTCCTTGTGTGTTTTAGATTTGTACATTAAATATAATGTTAGCATTAGACAACTATTCTCTTGTCCATCACTGATGGATCACAATGATGCAAAAGCCTTGTATTATGTGAACCAATAAATGTACCATGTGCACAGAGAGACTGTCAACTGCTTGATTAACAATGTAAAGCTTTACTAGGGGAAAAAAAAGGCAGTGAATATAAATCAGGTAATACCTTTGCTTTGTCTTTGGTTAGTCTTGGCCATGATTTCCCAGGCTCTGCTTTTTTTAAACAACACAGGACTGATCTGTCAGTGCGTCTGTGTCTGGATTCCTGCAAGTTGTATAGATGGCAACTTAACTCATAAGAAGTCAAACTTATCCAAGAACTGTATCTTGGTATATAAATGATAAACTTACTTTGGGGTCAATATCCCCAAAAAGTTCAACTTCATTGTGGTGTTTGGTATTTTCTGTTCCACTGGCACAGCTGTAAAAAGAAAAAAAAAGAAAACAAAAGGTCACCTTTTGACAATCTCATTTTCATTCGGATACAATAAGCAATTTCCATCAATTATGAAGAAAACGCGACTTACCTAAATTCAAATTTTGACTTGTCAAATTTTACTTTTACTTCTTTACTGTCTTCAACGCAGAACTCTACAAAAACAGAGTCTCGTCTGTCATACCATTTTGCTGTAGCAGCATGCCTAATAATGAAGAGGAAGTTAGTATTAATAACAGCATAACCTTTTGGTTTACATTATTAACTAAAAACAAATGAAGGGCCACATATACAGTGAGAAACTAAATGAGAAATGCACACAGCTTACTACAGAGAGAGAATCTTTGAAGTTAAAACAGAACTGTGTCACTACTATCCAGAAATTGTACCCATGGATTATTACTCTAATCAATTTAGAAGGCAAAGTATTGTCTTTTCAATATAATTGCTATGAATATAGTATGAATATGCAAAACGGAGATAAAAATGTGTTCCAAGTTACAATGTTCATTGAATGGGGATTGATGTCCCGCTACCAGAGAGTGAAAGCTTCAGACCATGCCTCCACGGTGCTAACTTTAACCTAGTCATGCAAGTTGACTTTAGCCTCCCAGCTAACGCTAACCGGTAATACACATGCGGCAAAAACGTAAGCTATCTTCGATGTTAGGACACGTTATAGGATTTTAGGTTAAACAACCAGAGTTATTTGTAAATAGTTTATACGACTCTGTGCTCCATTATGGTTCGGTCACATCGACTAACTGCACAGTGGATGCTAACTCGTGTGCTAGCTAAGTCAGCTAATGTGAGCTAGTTGATCCGCATTACAGCACTCGTAAGACACACTTGTTAGTAGCGAGCGACAACCAATATAAAATAACAAAAACAAGGCTTACATCTTTATAGTATATCGCGTAGACTTTTTCGTCTGAAAACGTGATACCAACAATATTATTTAGCTAAAAGCCGGTCAATGTGAGGGGTGAAACCTAAACAGTTAACTCTGATAAGGTTTACTACAAGCGTTACGTTCATTCAACTATCGCGTTATTTTCCTTTCTATCGCGAGAGGTCCTTGCGCGCCTGCTTGGAGAATGGGCTTGTCATGAGATAATTCTAGAAGCGGCGTGACGCAGCAGCGCAACGGCGCCATCCAGAGCAATTCAATATAATTGAGATGGATACAGCAGTTTTTTAGTTGCACACCCCATAGTACAATGGCACAGACCTACAATGCATACAATAAATATAAACGTAGGGAGGGAAGTAGGCTGTTTGTTAGACTTACACATTGCACCCATTATGTTAGTAGGAAATTATTTTTAGGTTGCTTTACTCATCTCTGATCATATAAACAAAATGTTGGCATCCATAAAAGTTATATGAGTCAAGTTTAATATGATTGAAATATGCTCTAGATTATAAAAAAAATGAAATCACATGGCTAACAACGGAAATATAGTGTACAACATCTCAATCAGAAAGCTTTTTCGTATTGGTTTTTCATTTTGAAAAATAATTATCCCCAAGAAATCTTCCTGGCTGACACTGTGACTTGTATTTTGTTTCTTTATCTTTTTTGACCTCAGTCACCTCATTGTTTTTCCTGTGTAAAGAAACTGGTGTAGACAGATGACAAAACGTTGTAAATATCCTGGAAGTATAACAATCATATGAGCTATACCCCACGGATGTTTTCTTCCTGTAGCTGTGTTGTTTTCTGCACAGTAGATGTGATCAGTCATTGGTTGCTTCCTCTGTTGCAGGAAGGCTCCTGCTGTTGTAATAAGAATACCTAATATTTTCACTGGTAATTATGTATATATATTTTTTCTTCACATACTTGTGTCATTGTTACTCTGTAGTTCAGTTCAGGAACCATGGCCTTATAAGTAGATAGATTTAGAATAGTTTGTGGGCCTCTTAAAGCTGGAGTCCACCATTGCCTAACCAATGACTAAATAACTGGTAAAGTATCTGATTTGAGTCTACTCCTTCCTCTTTTTGTCTTAACAAATTGATCTCCCTCACAGTGTGCCTGAGAATAATGAATATACATGCAAGTTGTTTTATAATTGTTTTACAGGTTCTCTGAAAATGTGTATGTATAGAATTTAGAATTACCTCACATAATTTCCTGCTGTTGAAAATTTTCTCTTACAAATATTTTTTTTCTATCGAGTGTTTCCCTGAGCAGTTGGAGTATCCCGAAGAATCCACAGGCAGTGCAGTACACCATGCTAAACTACAGAGAAATAGACAACAGAGCTTAAATACATCATGCTCTCTACTTCTACCTAGTGTAATAATATTAATAATAAAGAATATGTTTGAAATGGATGGTACCTGTCCAGGGCGTACCCCGCCTCTCGCCTGTATAGAAAATAGATGGATGTTTGAGATGGATAAAAAACAAAGCTTATTTGTTACATGCTCATACATACAGTACATATGTAGTACAATGAATACAATAAATACAAATGTAAAAAAGGTATTTCTAAGCCAATCCATGATATCAAAGACGCTTTATCAACTCTTTTATTTCCATGGCTCAGATGGCCTCAAGAGCCATGGAAATAGTGAAGTTGTCATAAATATATGACAATAATGTGCAACAGCTCAAAGAGCAATGGCGACGCAAAGAGCTTCAATTGCTCGAAGGAATATATATTATGTTGGTAGAAAATTATATTTAGGTGGCTTTACTTGTCTTTGATCATGCAAGCAAAACATGAACATATATTAAGGTTACTTATGAGTCAAATGAAAATGATTGAAACATGGATTTTATTAAAAAAACAAAATATTTTATATGGCTAACAACAGAACTATAATATGGAGTACAACCCCTCAACCAGTAAGCCTTTTGTAACGGGTCATAGATCTGCCTGTATTTTGAACTGGCTGCCAAGCACTTCCACTAAACTACCGGATGCCCTATCAACCCTACTTTCTGGGTCTTCTGGTTTCATCCCACTGAGCCATCTAGATGAGATCATTCTGATGGCGCCATCTGCTGCGTGGCTCCACTAACTTGTCATGGATATAAATAGACCCAACATTGATCGCTATCGTTATCTTTATGATATTTGCTGTAGTTCCATAATAATGTCAGCTCTGCTGTCTGAATTACTTCTCTATGAACGAATTGGTAATGATGTTGAATCTTAATAAATAATTACTCTCTTATTTGATCCTTATTCCCACGTTTTCTTTGCATAATTTTCTAAAAACAGCGATTCAGTTTTAACATTTTAAAGCTTTATCTCTTATTTGTATTGCTTTCTATATTCTTTTGTCCTCCATGGACAGTTTTGCTTTTGGGCTTAACTGCATTCTTCCTTATTGACTTCTCTGCAGCCACTAGAATAATTTCACAAAAAGAAACATTTCAGTTATCAACAGCTTCATTTATGTCAATTGTTTCTTATTTCTTGATCACAAATTATTCTAAATCTATCCCATTCAGCACCAATGAATGAACATTTCCAATCCCCCCTTTTCCATTGTTCTAAACTTTAACAAACTGCTATAAAAATTGGAGACAGGTCACTTCCTATTGCTCTGACTAACTCCTTTGAGCAAATACCTGCTAATGAATCTGATACTAATGTAAACTACACTGATGAATTTGTTCCATTTCTGAAATTAACGATTGCTTTATTTATAAAACACATTCAAAATGACAACAGATTTTGACCGAAGTTCTAAATTCCAGTTTGTTTTAAAATCTTTAATAAACCCCTTACATTCCAGGCCATTAACTCTTAACCTTCTTGCATCCCACTGTACAATAATCACTTTGTTTTATCACAGCGGCCTCCTGTTTACCCATCTGTTTCAAGGTGAAATAAACCTCGCCTATTTTGCATACCCAAATGGAAAAGCAAATAACTGAGGAACTGTAAGCCCAGATTACATGTGTGATACATCATTTGAAAGCAAACACCTTCTAGTTTCTGAAAATATGAAAATATCAGTTGCATCAGTTCAAACATGACTCAAAGTTGTTGTTTTTTCTTCTTGAAAATAATATCTTTTTTGAACAGCAGTCATACAGACATGCTTGAGAATAGGCATGTCTTATTGTATTACATTTGTTCTACATCATGTCAGCCACAAATGCAGGAAATTTCAGACCTCTAGCTACAACAGTTCTAGAGCTGTGGGGCTTTCAACTTTTGGTGCCACCAATGCCTCCAAACCTCTCGAAATGTGCCAGAAATGCTTTTGCTCAACTATTTGACCCAAATAATAACACTGAAGCATTTTGATGGCCACAAAACATTTATGAATCAAGTATTTTTCCACTTTTTTTTCACAATCAGTGTATATAACAAAATGTAACATTTATAAACCTAAAATAACATTAACATCTATCAAAAATAGTGAAGCGGCTGCTTTTCAAGCTGTATTTTTGTTGTTGTTGTTGTTGTTGTTGTTGTTTTTTTTGGCCTTAGGCATTGTAATAAAACACAATCAGCATCCAAACGTAAAAAAAATGTTAGAGTCCAGTCTCAGCAGTGTAATTCAATCTTAGGTAAGCCGGTAACACGGCTCTGCTTTATGCAACCAACTCATGTTTGCCCTTGTTTGAAACCTTATTTCATTGGCTACAAAGCCAAACAGCCCAAGTG